AATCTAACAATCTACAGCAAAACCATCAATTATTATGGGCGTTATAACATAGGTGTGCAGCTGGACGAAACATACACGTCGAACCCCCCCAGACGATTTAAATACCTGACGAAACATACACGTCAAACCATGCCAACGGGTTAACATTCCACTAGTGGAGGGCTCTAGGGATACAGTATCACCATGTGAAGTCTTATGCCTTTTAGAAGTTGAAAGAAACATTGCCAAGAATTTGTTGGTAGCATTTCCATGATGTGTGCTCATGACTGAGACACACATATTATGTTTACACACACATACAGCATGGATACAGAGATCATCAACCAGAATGGAGACCTCATCCTGAGTATAAATGGTAGTATCAGACAGCGTGCTATGTAAGGCCAAGTTTCTGTGGCTGCAGTTTGGCCTATGTCATCAGTTCCTCACTAGTTGTAAATATCTGATGCATAAGTTGATTTCCAGTCTTTGGTTTGGCTTCTAGGAAATATTTTCAACTGTCCAGAAAAGAAAGGACCTCCATGACTGGAGTTCCTATATTCCCTTCTCACCTACAACGATGGGACAGTTCCTGCTGCTAGATGGGGTGGGAGGTCCCTGAGCAATTCACATGATGTGGTGGTTTGGAAAACAATGCTTCAGCAAGCCCAGAACCACTACAAACACCACAGGCAAGGATACAAACATTTCTCTGTGTGACCAAAATTACAGGCATCAAAAGCAACTCACGGGGTTTGGGATGTATGGTGAATTTACTCAAAAAGATGAATGAATGAATTTTAACCCTTCAAGCTGGTATCCTGAGGACATACTCACAGACCTGTGACATACGCTATCAGCAGCAGCCAGAGTATATTCTTGTCAACGCAAATTCACAGAAAAATCATAACTGCTCTGCCATCTCTTAATGGGGAATTAAACTAACCGAAGCATTATACCTCCGAAGTTTGCAGTTTTCACTATTGTAGCTGTTTCTTCTGACTGAATGATTTCATGGGAGCTATACAGAATGTTCTGTGACCTTCAAACCAGCTGCTTAGTACCTTGTATTTCGCGTGGCCTGGAAATGAGTAATATATTATGGTGCATGAAAGTTTAGATCATTTGTATGCCTCCTGAAAATCACATAAAATTCACTTTAGTAATTTCCAAGACAGGTAACACTGAGAGAGATAAATGTCTGGTACAAGACAATTTAAATACTGCTGCAGCATACAACTAGTACTTACTTACTCATGGAGCTGAGCCCTTCTTGAGGAGCTGCCAATTCTGCAGCTACTCTAGAATTTCCCAGCATTTTATGGAACCCAAAGGTTCATCACCGTGTTCATAAGAGCCCTCCACTGGTCCCTATCCTGAGCCAGATCTATCCAATCCATACCATCCCATCCTATCTCTCCAAGATCCATTCTAATATTGTCCACCCACCTACGCCTTGGTCTTCCCTGTGGTCTTCTTCCTTCTGGGTTTCCCACCAATATCCTATACGCATTCCTCATCTCCCCCATTCGTGCTACATGACCTCATCCTCCTCGACTTGATCACTCTAATTATACTTGGAGAAGAGTACAAGTTATGAAGCTCCTCATTATGCAGTTTTCTCCAACCTCCTGTGATTTCATCTCTCTTTGGTCCAAAGATTCTCCTCAACACCCTGTTCTCAAACACCCTCAGTCTATGTTCCTCCCTTAATGTCAGAGACCAAGTAGGAGGGGTTAAAATGGGAAGGCCTGGTAGAGACTACCTATACTATGCAGCTTGCTAATTTTACTCTGACAAAAAGGGACGGTTACCCTTGCTGACATTCAGAGAAAACCTCACGATGTCCAGTGTTCTCATTTAATGGAAAAATCACACCTTCATCAAACATAAACATTTCCAGACTACGCGAAGTTCTGTTTCAGCACGACCAATCTGAAAAACTCACTGTGCCACATTGTCTATGCAGAGAGAGCAGAAAAGGTAATTTCCCACAAATGGAAAAAGCGCAATCCACAGAAATAATAATAAATAAATAAATAAACAGAGTCATGCTGTGTTTCTCAACAGATGACACTGCACAAAGCTGGAACCTTGAATATTAAAAGAATATTTGGAGGTGGGTACACCTTAGAGATGAACTTGTCACCAAGAGCAGATTGGATCTCCACATCTATCATGCCATTCAGAGTTGATGCTAGCTAATCTCAGGGAAGAATTCGGGGATCTCTGTCTCTCAACATGAACGGGGTAGCTTTAAGTACTGCCTCTGTTTATTCTTCATTATAGCTGTTAATCAGAAATATTCCATTCTTTAATGAGGTATTTGCAACTCTGCAAAAAGCCCATTAAATTCAGATGATCTGTCTGACCATCTGCATGAATGAAACTCAAGAACTGCTGCAACAAATTTTCATAATATTAAAAACTGGGATGGATTCATAAAATGTATCAACACATTCCTATTTTAGATACAACAAATAAATAACAAATCACATTCTGGAACTTCCTACTACTACCTACAAGTAAAATATTGTCATGTGTAGGGTGGTACGCATGACAAAAGTGATGGGTTCTAGTTCAGATGACTGGATTTATTAGCAATTCGGTTACACACTCACTCTCTCAATTATACTTAAATACAGCGTTATCGCTGATTTTTTCACGCGCGCGCACACACACACACACACACACACACACACACACACACTGGTCCTATCCTGGTAACACAATTACAACAAGGGAACTATGAAAGTCTCACTAAATTACACACTCCCAAACCCACTGCACTATAGCAAACATAAAGTCTTGAAATCACACTTTAAATCTTCAAAGGCTGACCTCCTGTATTATTCTGTAATCCTGGTTCCAATTTGCTCACTCCTGTGCTTTCACTGCTACTATTTCTCTCTTTACTGCCCTCACCTGACCTCTGTCAGCTTAGGAATTCCACTCACTTATATAGCCGAGGGATGGACATTGACCAACAGTAAATATACCGTATTTACGCATGTATAGGCTGCATGCGTGTATAGGCCGCAGCACAATTTTCAGACAAAAATTATAGAAAAAATAATTTTCTTGGAATATTATTTCAGGAGTATTACACCCTGTATTACTAATTATGAATATAATTTTTTTTAAATGAAGTGTGATTTCGAATATTTCGAATATAAGCCGCACCCCATTTTTCCTCTTGAATTTTTGGCAAAAAATGTGCGGCCTATACAACTCCATGTACGGTATATCACATGACCCCTATCCACTGTTGCTGTGTGACATCACTGCACATGCGCAGCTGATGGACACGCAGGAAACACATGTCACGTGACAGCAATCTATTGATGTGGGACATCACTGCTCCTACAGCAACTGCCAGACATGTGGAAAACACAGCTTGCTCCACTGTTACGTGTGCGCATTGTGTCTACTGAGCTGTTGCCTGGCAATGCATTGATGAAATATGCCACACTGCTCCCTCCTTAAGGCTGCTCTTCCTGAGTAGTCTAATGGCATGTCACTGCCCCTTCTTTCTGAGGCTTCTGCTCGTGACATCACTTTCCTGTGGCTTGGTCTTCTCCTCTTGCGGCAACTATTCTTCAACTGCTACATCCATCCCCCCTTAAAGCCAGCTCATCCCTAGCGGTTCCATTATAAGCTTCCAGTCAGTCAAGGTTCTCACCACAATTCAAAGTTCTCTTCTTTTCTTTCTCTCTCCCTCTTACAATAGTGGGAGCCATAATTCCTGGAGTGGCCAGTGCTCCATCTTATCTGACTCCTCTTATGCTAATGCTGCTAGCAGGTTTTCTTCCACTTTGGAGGGGGCCAAACCCTCTACAGTCTTCAGTCCTTGATTTGCCACAACCCACTGGACATCCCCACTGCTCGCTTCACAAACTCCAGTCTGAAATCCTTCCTGACGAACCCATCTGATGTCCTCTTGGTCTTAAGGTGCAGCTGCCATATTATGCTTGGGTTCTTCATTTGCTTGCTGCCTTGTAGCAGCTGTCTTAGGTCTCGGTCTCTTATGCCACTGTTGCATTCCAAGCCTTTCCAGCGTCTATTCTCCTTTGTTCATTCTTTCCGGGTTTCTTGTTCAACACTGTCCCTAGTTGAATATCTTCTGAAGAAGTTTCCCTTGTGCTGTGCCACCCCTGCATGGCGGGACATCTTTCTGCCAGTGGTAAATTCCTGCTGTGGTCCACAATTTCCTGATGACTTTTCCTTTGCACTGTGCCACGGCTGCATGACGGGACACCTTTCTGCAGGTGGCAGCCAACTTCCTCTGAGATCCACAAATTCCTCAGGCCAGGTCCTTTGGTTCTCCATGTTGCCCTGCAACTTGCTTCCAGCCTTTATGCCACTTCTTCCGTCCTTTGACCAGTTTCCTTACGGCATCTACCTTACTGACCTCATGATGTTCCAACTTGTATTCCCTTTCCTCCAGATTTCCCTTCAAATCCATGGCTTCCATCTTTTCTAGATTGGCCTCCACTGAATTTGGCAGGCTATTGTTTTTTCGCCATGCCCACATGGAATGAATTGCAGCATCCAACTTCTCTTCGGTGGCCTAACTAGGGATCTGATTTCCCTTCGATTTAGGTCAATCTTTGTCTGGTCGGCTTTCCTATTAGCATCCACTTTTCCTGGTTGGTTTTCATTCTTGCCGTCATTTCTTGCATGTTCTTTTATACTGGTGTTCATTCTGGCCTGAAGGAGTTCCATCATGTGTTGTGCCACCATAATACAGCAATATAACAACCCTGTAGATATGCAATTCACTCATCAATCCAGTAACTATTAAATCTGACCACTTCTAACACCAACTGTCATGAGTATATGGCCGCGTGACTAGTGACACAAAATTATCACATATTTACGATCATAACCACTGCTGAAGAGTCCAGTACGATCTGAGCTGCCAACTTCAGACACCAAAATGTCACGTGTAGGGTGGTACGCGTGATGAAAATGACTGGTTGTAGTATGGATGATTGGATTTATTAGCACTCTGGTTACATATTCCCTCTTAATTGCACTTAAATACAGCACTATAGCTGATTTACACACACACTGGTACTATCCTGGTAACACAATTAAAACGAGGGAACTATGAAAGTCTCACTAAATTACACTCCAAATCCCAGTGCACTACAACACACACAAAGTCTTGAAATCACACTTTAAATCTTCACAGGCTGACCTCCTGTATTTTTCTATACTCCTGGTTCCAATTTGCTCACGCACATGCTTCCGCTGCTACTAATTCTCTCTCTACTGCCCTCAACTGAATTCTGTCAGCTTAGGAACTCTGCTCACTTATATAGCCGAGGGACGAACATCGACCAACAGTAAATACATACCATGTGACCCCTACCCACTGTTGCTGTGTGACGTCACGATACGTGCACAGCTGACAAACATACCAGAAAACCATGTCAAGTGACGGCCACCTACTGTTGATGTGTGATGTTACCACTCCTGCGCCAGCTGCTAGACACACGGAAAACACAGCTTGCTCCATTGCTCCACTGTTGTGTGCATGTATCATGTCTACAGTGCTGTTGGGCGGCAATGCGCTGATCAAATACACCACAATATAAACATAAACTCACCAGCCTTATTTCGTGTTGATCCCACCAGCAATCTAAGTGTGGATGCTCTGCCTGTTTTAGCATACAGTATAGGTGGAGCAAATTCTGTTGTTACAGACAGAAGAAGTTCTGGAAGATTATCTGGTAAAGGTTTTGAACGCACTTCCAAGTTCTGGTGTCCTCCAACAGCAGAATTCTCAACTAGGTCTTCATGATCACTCTGAAAATCAAATCAAATCACTCAGGAAAACTGCACACAGATCCAATGCTCACAACTGAATCATTAGAACGTAACACTTGGTCACTTGCCAAGGAAAGACTGGAGACTGATGATGTTCAAAAACAAAGTATGCCTACAACACATGAAGTATAGGGGAACTGAGAAAATTCCATAATCATTCTAATTTGTATTCTTCACTAATACTGTTGGGTGTTATTTAAGTCAGGTGTACTTGTGTGTGTTTTGTTTTTGAGTGTGTGTGTGTGTGTGTGTGCACACATGGTGGAGGATGAGGTTAACTTTTATAAAGTGGCTCAGAATTTCACTTCTAAAATTAACATATTCTCAGACCTTTCAAAAAAGTATGAGCACAAAATTACATATTATTTCAAACTTGATTCATGCAAGTTAATTATATTAAGACTATAGTTAGCTAGCTATATTACAACAGCACCAATAGGAGTACAATCCTGTATTCTGTGTCACCCTCATACTCACAACTACTATAATGTTTCCATTTATACCATTTGCTCCAAACTGCCATCTGATTGGTTGGTGAGATTTAAGGATAAGTGTAACATTACGCGGTACAGGACGCATGCCTTCTCCTTGTAACTGAATCAGTACAGGAAGTGGACCTCGATTTGGTCTATTTCCTTTGGCACCCGCATCTAATTCCACCACATACACATCACTAGATCAAAAAGAAATACACAATCTGGTAAGAAAGGTATTGTAGAAATGTGCCGTAAACTAACAACAGTATCCCTTCATTAAAATGTTTCCATAATACATGATTTGAAGCTTTCACGGTGACAGTATACAACAGACTTCTCAGGTGATCAATCTTGTCAAGTTGAGTTAGTCTGAATTCCAGAGACTGTCTCTGTCTTCACCATCTGGGGCAAGGAATGACAAACACCAATCATTCTGATTCAGTACTGAAGCATTTCACTGTGTTACTGTTCAAATAGTATCAAGTTTCTGTCAATATCTGTACAACTGTTGATGTTTATTCCTGCATGAATTACAGCCCTTCTCCATCTAACATGTAACAAGCATACCTAATAAAAACAAAAAAGGATAAAGAACAACAAAAATCATCAAGACACTGAAGATCTGAACAGTAAAAAAAGTGCACTAATTCCAAATTCAATTTCAGTTCTAATTTTAAATTAACTGTAAGGCCCCCCCCCCAAAAAAAACTCCATGGTTTTAGTCCTCAAGCGAACTATACGGACCATGAGACCGTAGCTTGTAGGTGAAGTTAGTGCCAACTTTTGCGGATACAGGGTGTCGCATGGTCAGCGCAACAGATCCCCACGGCCATTAATCTTGATTTTCTAGACTGGACTGTAACCAAAAGTGAAACAAAATCCAGAAATGTTAACCCTATTGACAAATAACACAGGTCTGTACAGTGCACACTAGCTTGTGCATTGCATGGATGTACCTGATGATGGCCACATGACAAATGAAACATGTCATACCAACATAGTGTCAACAAGCGTACTGTGAACAATGACTAAATAAAATCAACTCTCAGAATATCACTAAAGAGGCTGACAGACAGTACAGGAACATAACACTGTATGGATTCTGATGAATACCCAAGTGACTTAGTCTGCGGTTAACTAAATGGTCTGCACTGGGACAGACCATCACTGACTGACTCTGCCCACTCTTCCCCATCCAGCCCAGATTGGGGCAGCTGACAGCTTCATGCATAAATACAGGACACTAATCTGACATCACATCAACCCCTGTTGATGGAAAGAGATGATCTCTGAAACACTGGACACTAACTCTATATTGGCATGACCAAACCCCATATATGCCTGCAATTAATGTTTTTATAACATTCCCACTCATTGGTATATAAAATTTGCTTCATTATCTACTTACTACAAGGGCAATTAAAAAAACTAAAAGCAACATATTTATTTATTTTTATTAAATTTATGAAAAGCAAAAAGCAACCCCCTACTGCTCTGAACACCTATCACAGCAATCCACACTTCATGATGCCATCTGAAAAGAACGTTTTCAGTTTCTATTGAAACCAAGCTGTGGACACAACCTTCATGTTTTGAAAACTGGAATCCACCAGACATTTTTTTGAAACCCAAAAAGGTGAAGTCACCAGGAGTACAGTTAGGACAATACAGTGCATGTGGGAGAAGCTTCTCTATAAGTTTCCAAACAATTCTGACTAAAAATTTAACCACAGAACGATGCTCATCCATGAAGCAACCCGAACACAGGGCCACGATGTTTACAATAGGGCCATACGAAACACGTTAAACATGCTTGTTTTATTACAGAGCAAAGTGCAATGAGGTATAATGAATACTGTCACATGTTCTCATTACTTTTTTAATTATCTTCACTCATTCCCATTCTCAGGTTTATTTTCTACACACGCACACAAAACCCCTTCCTATTTAAAATGATTTTTTATTGGAATGATAAGAAAAAAAAACACTCTACAATACGTAGTTGTATTATTAATATTTCTATCACTACAACACACTGCAAATATAATGATACATTTGTTATCGGCAAACTGGCTAGCTATTCTAGAAAATCTGGTTTATTAAATGGTTCTGGCATTTATGTCCACATATCAAATGTATCAAGTTAAATGTAATGCCAAGTTCCACATCAATTTATATCTTAAAAAGACAAAAAAAATTAATTCCTATTAAAAACAAGCATATTAATTCTAATCAACTCAAAGAATCACTCACACTTGGTTATCTCCAATATAATCTTCATGGAAACAACCTTCAGTTTTAAGTTGTACAGTTGAATAGGCAGTCAAAACTCTACTCTCTGTCAAAGAGTCTATATTACATTCAGTTCCAAGACTTGGGTTTTGACTCAAGCTCAAGATGGAGCCAACCTTCAATTCCAAATGATTTGCACCCTTCACCTCAGTGTATGATGCTAATAATGGGTACTCCCTCCTCACATATCGCTGCAGAGCCTTCTTGTTAGGCCATCTTTTGTGCGAAAAGTTGAATTTGAAATTGCCTTCAACAGTAGAACCCTCAGATACCTGCCAAAAATACCAAACTATCTTTAAGGGCACCAATTTTATTCCACACTTGCATTATACTTAATCTCTAAAGATGAAAATGCAGGATCACGATCTTCTCTCCAAGAATTATACATTTGTTTCTGTAAAAAGCTCTATTGCACCTGACAAACCATACATGCACTGGCTGTACTGCAAGAGGAGCAGCTATTCTTAACAATGAATTTTGTCTGTTTCTACTCATCAACTTTTGGTGGGTGTGTTTCCTCCACATCTGAGTATATTAATTTTCATTTCATGCCTCCTGTTGTGTTACAATATATATAACTTATTTATTTGACCGTCACAACACAACAATAAAAGAACTTCAAGGACAATGCCCAGATATAGTTCTGCTACATGTTTCGGCCACTAGTGGCCATCATCAGGCAAACACAATTCAACAAACGTACACCACTGAACCGTAGTACGCAAAATTTGATATAATGTCATAAATCATTTAAGATAATTTGCAATAAGAATACAATAAGTAGTTTATTTAAAACTAATAAAAGTCATATATAAAAAAACAAAATTAAAATTTGATTGATGTGTTTTAACATCGAATCAGTCGTTGGTTCCACTTTACATACGTATCCGTCGACAATAGTAAATTTCAATGTTTCATTATAAAATTGTATAGGAGGCCCAATAATTAATGGCACAGTTGGAGCCTCATCATACGGAGAATTGTACGTAATGTATGGGAGGTAAACGACTGACTGCATCAGTCGTTGTTTACTATTTGTCGATGGATACATATGTAAAGTGGAACCAACGACTGATTCGATGTTAAAAAACATCAATCAAATTTTAATTTTTTTATATGACTTTTATTAGCTTTAAATAACATGCTTATTGTATTCTTATTGCAAATTATCTTAAATGATTTATGACACTGTATCAAATTTTGCGTACTACAGTTCAGTGGTGTATGTTTGTTGAAGTGTGATTGCCTGATGATGGCCACTAGTGGCCGAAACATGTAGCAGAACTATATCTGGACATTGTCCTTGAAGTTCTTTTATTGTTGTGTTGTGACGGTCAAATAAACAAGTTGTATATCTGAGTATGTTCATATTATACACAATTACTGTAAACATTACTTACTAAAATCAGAGGCTGAGGTGAAGAATAGGAATCGTCACTGGTATCTTCTTTGTTGTTATAGTTTGCTACCAGTTCCCAAGCCACAGGATGATCTGAATTCAATACCAGAATCAAACGCCCAAGTACATCAGCATTTGATTCATTGACTTCTCCATCCTGACTGAAGTTCACACTGAGTTTGACTGGCGATGGTGTCTGAGACTTCAAACGGTGGCTAATAAGGAAACTGCTAGTTACACTGTGCAGCATAATAACATGTACTTCCTGCATGTGATGAACATTCTGGGCCATGACATGAATCTCTTTGTTTTCCACATGGTGACTATGTGACTTTGAGTGAGTTTGAGCAGCTGCAGATTTGTAAGAAGTGGAACAACCTCGTGTTTTGCGAGGGGTATCCAACAGAGGAACAAAATAAGGTGTGACTAAAGAACTTACAATACACAGCTCAGGATTACCTGAAACAGTTAAACAGAGCATATAATTAAGTTAAATAATGAATTACAGCCCCTACTAAAATGCACATGAACATTATTCATTTGTTGGATTTCAGGTTCTCACAGCAGTGAGTATGGAGAAAATAGTCTTCAGCATTGTAATGCCATGTAGTTCAGGGAAAGAGTACGCCAAGCAAGAAACCAGAAGAAGCAAGCAGCAAGCAGCTCAGCTGGCGTACTGTTTTATCCTAAAGATGGAGGTGATATGTTCCTCCAAAATGTTGGGCTTTCCCCAAATTACACACTGTTACAACCCAGAAGATAATGCTCTTCAACATTACTGATGTCAGTGAACTTAGCGTTAAACTTTCCTAAATAAACGATGAGAACATAGCAATTCACTGTTACAGTAATAAGTAAATTCTGAGAGTATGTATATGCTTCAAAGTTTAGAAGTGTTCACTGTTGAGGTAGTCTATTTTACAGTTGAACCTTACAGGTTTAAAGGAGAGATTATTAATAATAATCTTCTTTACTTTCAACCCTGCTATGCTTCCTGATATGAAATCTATCCACACTGTCACATGTTAGAGTGACTGTAGATGGGGGTTTGGATTTACTGACCATTTACAGGTCATAACTGCAAGAAACTACAACACTATCACTAATTTCTGTACTCTTCTAGTCACTACAGCACATGCTAAGCCTTTTAGTCTGCTGTGTCTTCACCACTCATTCCCTGGTAACAGCTTCTAACAGTGGAGATTCCTCAAGCTCTGTGCTCATTTTGTTACCATCTGGCAAATATCCAGCAATTCTCTGAACTCTTGTTTCAACTGTCCTTCTTATAACCCCTCAGCATTGACCAACACAAAACACAGCTCTTGTATTGTTGATCCAATCATTTCTGGAGGAAGTTGTTTGTTTGTGAAGGTGTTACTCAGTAATGGCTGCATATACTTATTATTAAGAATCTGTTGCCTAACCTTGGATGTTATTACTCAGTATGGGATACACATGCTACAATATGATACTTCTGTTTTGTTAAAATCCTGCAGGCACTAAATCATGGCCAATATACATTCGCTCCTCTAAAAATCAAGTACTATACTGGAATGTGATCTTTTATTTACTAAAATGTGAAGTTGGTTGGGTTATCCCATCAGAAGAGGCATCAATGTGGGAAAGTATGTTCTTTTCACAATACTGCCAGGAGGTTATTACATTTATTGACATGTTCACAACTCTGCACCTCACAGCAACCAGTGTACTGCCAGCTGCAAGGAGCATACAAATTTTGCCAATGAATCAACATGCCTGTTGGCTGATAATGTTCGGAATGTAGTTACAATTCACAGGTGAAAGGAGGTGTTGAAAATGCTGTTCCTTTACATGTAGATTCTTCACACTGGTAGAAGAGGTTCTGATTTACCTTATAAAAAACTGTTCTGCAGGAATATTTGCAATTTCCCTACAAATGCTATCTTTTAGTTCTTCTTCCATTTGAGGGTTACTGTTGTAAACTTTTTCGTTCAAACAACCGCAGAAGAAAACAGCACAAGGATTAAGATCAGGTGAATGTACTGGACAAATACCACTGCTGATAATTCTGTCCCCAAAGACAGTGGACAAAGCCTTTCTTCTTCTATTAACTCAGGAAAGAAATACCCTAGAATGACCTGTACTTATCTTTCGCAAATAACTGTT